GTGTGTGTGTGTGTGTGTGTGTCTAAGCAATTGAGTGTGCTGGCATAATATGGGGATGGGAGGCAGGGAGAGAGGCTCTAAGGAAAGCCTCAAAGAGGGCAGAAGGCCCTCTTTTCTTTCCTGACCTCAGATGGCCCCTCCCAACCAGGAAGAAGAATGTACCAGAAGCTGCTAATAGTCAGAGGTAGGATACGAAGGAGTGTCTGGGGGCTCCGACAGTGTCCCACAATGGGTATTTCCAAGCCTAAGACCATATTCTCCCTCCTAGTGAGGGTTCATCCACAGGGCCCTGGCCATGTCCACAGGAACCCCCAGGGGCTACCCGCTGTGTGGTTCATGGGGCCGAATTCTGGAGCAAGTATCGGATTAATGTGACTGAGGTGAATCCGCTGGGTGCCAGTACACGCCTGCTGGATGTGAGCTTGCAAAACATCTGTGAGTACCCACCCTAGACTTCTACCCAGACCCCTAGCAGAAACCCCAGAGGGACTCTATCCTGTTGTCTCTCAACACAGGCTCCACTTCACACACACAGATGCAATCAAAGAGATGGTCTCTGTTAACCTCTGCACACATTCTAGCCTGCAGCTACAGGTCCTTCCTTCTCTCAGCTTCCCTGGAGGCTGCCTAGCCTCAGGACTGACTCCTGCTTCTAGGCCCTGTGCAGAAGACAGCCAGATCTCATGGCCTCCCTAGCCAAGGGAAGCCCCCGATGATTCCTCCTTCTTGATCTATGTGTGTGTGTGCATACATGTGTGTGGTGGGGAGGCGGGCAGTAAAACTGGTTGAAATTTGGGCCAAATCATCTTTTTTTGGATAGCAAATTTCCTTTTTTACTTATGCAACAAAATTCTCCCCTCACCCCCAAGACTGGTAGCTTACTTTAAAATAAAGATATGATGATAGACAGGTCCTAAGGCTAACTAATGACCGAGTTTCAGATTTTTCCACTCCTCCTGGAAGTACTTGGATAAGATGCTTTTTTTTGGGGGGGGGGGGGTCCAGTCATGGGGCTTGTACTCTGGGCCTGGGCGCTGTCCCTCAGCTCTTCAGCTCAAGGCTAGTGCTCTACCACTTGAGCCACAGCGCCACTTCTGGCTTTTTTCTTTTTGCTTATGTGGTGCACTGAGCCAACTTCCCAGCCCGGCTAAGATGCTTTTAAGCACACATCTTAGGAAGCGGTAAAGGGATGAGTACCTGTTTCCTCCTTTGACTTTGTGTCTGGCCGCCCTTAGTGCGTCCTGACCCACCCCAGGGGCTCCAGGTAGAGTCAGTACCTGGCTACCCCCGACGCCTTCGTGCCAGTTGGACATACCCTGCCTCCTGGCCTCGCCAGCCTCACTTCCTGCTTAAGTTCCGTCTGCAGTACCGTCCAGCACAGCATCCAGTCTGGTCCATGGTAAGGCCTAGAGTGTTTCTTAAGTTTGGGCTGTGGGTTTTGTCTCTGATTTCATGATCCTGAATGTTTGTAGTTTCTGGGCATTCATTAACAGCTCTGATACCCCCTGGGCCAGGCATCCAGCTGGATAGTAGTGAACTCCCACTGCTATCTCAATCCCCAAGAGTGGCTACCATCTGGTCTGGGGAAATCAACCTCAGTTGCCACTGATTTTTACATTGGTACTCTGTGTCTTGTATATACCTTTCTCTGATTTGGGGAAGAGAAGGGGAATAAAACGGCGAGATAAAGGACAGAGGGTGAACCAATGCAACAGCGATATTCACAAGACACTGTGTTGGAAATGAACTTTACAACTGTTGGTGGGGGGAAGCCAGAGGGCAGGGAAAGTGGGAGAAAAATGAAGGACAATATTCAACAATGTTGAATGTTCAATGAGGAACAATGTTCAACAAGAAATGTAACTCCTTACCTTACTTATGTAACCCCTCTGTACATCACCTTTACAATAAATACAATAAAATAAAATAAATCATATTTAATGAAACTAAGTTATAGAGAGACCAAAAGTTCACCTAGACAGATTGAAGCCACAGACAGCCCCTCTAAGTGGTCACTATCCAATACAGTATTCCTAACCTTAGGTATAGACTCTACCCCATCAGCCACCACAGTAGTTAGAGGCCTACACCCTCCACTGGCTGTCAGGGATGGCACTGGGAGGACAGGGTAACATTTGAAAACCATTTGTCTAGGCTCCCTGCTGACAGCCTAGGGCCTAAGATAATGCCCTAAGGAATTATCTTAACCCCCAGGTGGAGCCCACTGGCTTGGAGGAGGTGATCACAGATGCTGTGGCTGGGCTGTCTCACACTGTGCGCGTCAGTGCCCGGGACTTTCTGGATGCTGGTACCTGGAGCGCCTGGAGTCCAGAGGTCTGGGGAACTCCAAGCACTGGTGAGAAAGAAAGCCAAAGAAAAGGGAAGAACCCCCATCTCCAAAGCATCTATTGGCTAATTAACGTCCCTGAAGGTGGCAAGGTTGTACATCCTCCCCTTGTCCCTCAGTCACAGCCAGGCAGAAGTAATGGCTGCCCTAGACAACCATCACCCTGTCAAGCTTTTTCTACCAACCCTTTCACCCTTGCAGTTATTGGCTATACTTCTAAAAGCCACACCCTAGAAGCTGGTCAGCCTCTGCCTTGTAGGCCTCTATGCCCAGCCCTGGCCATGCTGATGTGGATACTTCTCATGTTTCACACACCCTCAGGTCCTCTGACAAAGATACCTGTTGAGGACCAGCTACCTATGCAACCACGAGAGACAGAAGATCAGGTGGACAGCCCTGCTCCTCCAAGGCCTTCCGTGCAGCCAGACCCACAACCATTTGGTGAGCTTAGGCAGAGAAGTAAAGGCCACAGAGAATGAAGAGAAGCGCTGAGGGAAGGGGTCACTGAGCTTCAGTTTGCTTGTTCTGATAACACTATGTGATACCCCTCTTCAGATCACAGAGATCCATTGGAACAAGTGGCTGTGTTAGCATCTTTAGGAATTTTCTCTTTCTTGGGACTGGCTGCTGGGGCCTTAGCACTGGGACTCTGGTAAGTTACTGAGGTCCTTCAGCCTCAGATCCCTACAGAAGATTTTTTTTTTTTGGTCGGTCGTCGGGCTTGAACTCTGGGCTTGGGCACAGCTCTTCAGCTCAAGGCAAGCCCTCTATTGCTTGAGCCACAGCGCCACTTCTGGTTTTTGAGTGGTTTATTGGAGATAAGAGTCTCATGGTGGGCTGGGAAGGTAGCTCAGCGGTAGAGTGCATGCCTTGCAAGCATGAGCCCTGGGTTCGATTCCTTAGCACCACATAAACAGAAAAAGCCTGAAGTGGTGCTGTGGCTCCAGTGGTAGAGCGCTAGTCTTGAGCTGAAGAGCTGAGGGACAGCACCCAGACCCAGAGTTCAGGCCCCATGACCGGCAAAAAACAAAAACAAAAAAACTGTAGGGCCAGGCGTTGGTGGCTCATGCCTGTAATCCTAGCTACTCAGGAGGCTGAGATCTGAAGATCGAGGTTCAAAGCCAGCCCGAGCAGGAAAGTCCATGAGACTCTGAGGAATCGAACCCAGGGCCTCAGGCATTCAAGGCAAGTGCTCTACCACTGAGGCACTTTCCCAGCCCCCCTACAGAAGTTTTGATGCCTCAGAGCACACCTGAACCTGTCTGATTCACCCCACTTTGTGATTCACACTGGTTCCTGGCTTTTTTTTTTTTCTGATTAAACCCATTTGGAAGTGACATTACTTGGGAGAACAGCTGCCCTTTTATACCCTAGGCTGAGGCTGAGACGAGGTGGGAAGAATGGACCCCAGAAGCCTGGATTCTTGACCCCGATGATTCCAGCGGACAAGCTTCCAGGCGAGTATGGACTTGGTAAGGTATTTCCTATTCTGACAGTGTCTGGTTTAAGAGCTGCACATCCTAGTAACTTTAAGGGTATTTAGAAATCAGAGTTCGGTCTCATTCTTTTTGGTATCTATGCTGATGGCTAGGCCTTTCATTCTTGTGTACTTAGGCAGAGAAATGGGTTTCTTCACTCTCTCTCCTTTGGATACCAGGGATTCTAAAAGGGCTTTCTACATTTTCAGGAAGTCAGACTCAAAACTGCTTATCTATCAGTTCCCTTGAGATATCTTAGATCAATGCCCACAGCATTCTGTGTGTGTGAGGGGGGGTGGGAAGAGGGAAGAAGAGGGGGAGGGGGAGGGAATAGAGGGAGAAGGAGAGGGAGAGGGTCATGGGGCCTGAACTCTGGGCCTGGGCGCCGTCCATCAGCTCTTCAGCTCAAGGCTAGTGCTCTACCACTTGAGCCACAGCGCCACTTCCGGCTTTTTTCTTTTTGCTTATGTGGGGTTGAGGAATCGAACCCAGGGCCTCATGCATGCAAGGCAAAGGCTCTACCACTGAGCTACCTTCCCAGCCCTCCTCCCTCATTCTTAATGTATGTGTGCCCAGAGTTATGTCTGTCCCTTCATCTTTAGGGTGTTGGGGCTCACTCAGAGTTGGGCTCATCTATTCCATCTCAGTGTTGGCTCAGAATGGGTTTCCCCACCCCCTTGCTTTCATTCTTAGGATGTTTGGGCCAAGACCCAGTCTTACTGTGTCTCTTAATTTTCTTCCTGCTCTTCTAGGTGCTTCAAATCTATAGAGGACCCAGGAGAACTTCATCTAATTCTACCTGTAACTCTTGTCTTGCTGACGTGTCTAGATGGACAGGAGAATCAACCAGGGCAGGAGAACTCTATAGATGGGATTCTCAGCTGGAAGAGCCCCTTTCTTTGCAATCTTGTATTCTATACTTGCCAGCTGAAAGGTGTCTGGATCTCTGATGTCATCTCAGAGCTAGAGGTCCACCTGAGGAATGTATGTAGATGTTTATGTCTGTGTCCATATGTGCCCAAGTGTGTGAGGCAGAGATCATATGTTCTCTGCATGTTGTATGTATGTAGGTACCTGGAGAATATGTATAGGTCTCTGATTCTTGACCTTGGCTCTTGGGGGTGGGAGAACTGTAAAGATTCAAATTTTTAAAAAAGGGAGTTTTTAAAGGTCACACTTGGATTATTGTCCAATACTTCTTTATTATTTTGGCATTTGGGGGCTCCAATCCATTTTCCTTTTCAGTGTCAGATTCAAGTTGGGTAGGTTTCCTTGGAGCCTTTTCCCTTGGCGCACAAACCACCGAGCTAGGCTGCGGTTTTGGGGATGAATGCAAACACTGCGTCGAGCCAGGTGAAGTCTAGGAATGGAAAGGTCCAAAGCTATGCCCATAGAATGGGCATGAGGTTGTCCCAGGATTGGGGCATGGGGCATATGAAAACCTCAGAAGGCTCATGGGGCTGGCATTGGGATAAACATCAGGGGTTGGGACTGAGGCCAGAGTCAGGGCTATCAAGAGTGGGGACAGAGCTCACACAACAGCCTGGAGGTGACAGTCCCCATCAGCCTCCTGCAGTTCCACATGGATGACCTTCCTCAGTAGCTTGTTTGAGAGTGGCTGTCTGTAGAGCTGAGTACAGCATGTAGTGCTGGGTGACAGTGGCAGCGCTAGGAACAAGAGAGCCATATGTTCAGAAGGGTCTAGAACCAGAACTGCGCTATCACACAGCTGGAGGTTGGACTTCCTGGGCTCCTTACCCTCTTACTCAGCCCACTCACACAGCCTTCTATACCCTCTTCCTCAAGACTTACCTGTTCCAGGGTCTGGGCTCAGGAACAATAGCAGCAAGAGGCCACTGGTGGTTAAGAATCCCTTCATGCTGCTCAGCCTAGACACTGCTCTCTTCTTCTCTCCCCCTACCTTTTATCTGGGCACATTTGACCTGGGGCACCAGGTGAGTCAGACACAGGTGCAGATGTATTGCTTATCTTATGATGTTACTGAGCTCTAATTCTTGAACTGTTGCCACAGATTCTTTCCACTTCTAGGACAACCATTTTTTCCTGGGTTTTTAAGCCCAGATAAGAGAAACAGTGCCAAGCAGTAGTACATATATGGGGGCTGATAGTACAATAATTAATGCCAGGTAAGGATCCACAGTAGCATCTAATAATAGACCTTCATAGTTACATTCCCATAGCCACACATTCACAGTCACACCTCAGTCACTCAATTTCAAGGTCACACCCATGATTGGACAATCAGACAAAATCATAAAGCCCCAGTTTACACGATGTCTGTTTTGTTTTATAATCAGCCACTAAAACACAACTTTTTTTTTTTTGCCAGTCTTGGGGACTGAACTCTGGGCCTGGATACTTCCTGAGCTTCTTTTTGCTCAAGGCTAGTGTTCTACCACTTGAGCCACAGTGCTACTTCTGGCTTTTTCTGTGTATGTGGTACTGAGGAATCAAACCTAGGGCTTTATGCATGCAAGGCAAACACTACCACTAAGCCACATTCCCAGCCCTAACATACAACATTCTAATGGAGTTGTGGGTGGAGTGGAAACGTAAGTCAGTACTAACTTGCCTTTATCACAACCCACTTCTTGCTGTGGCCTGCCTGTCCTACTAGGAGACACTGATGGGAATGAGTCCCTAAAGCGACCTTTCTGGCTGAGGTGAGGGCTACTTTCTCCAGGAAGGTAAGGAGGAAAGGTAAGGTGGAAGAGAAGATAAAAATGGTGCCAGACTGCTGATGTCAAAACAGATGAAAGGCCTAAGAAATCTTCTTGTGTTTGCCAAGTTCTATTTCAGGAATGCCAGTTTGTGGATTTGGGGTTTCTAGCCTGTCTCTCTCTCTTATTGGTGCGGGCATTTGAACTCAAGATCTAGCACTTGCCAAGCAGGTACCCTATAACTTAAGCCATGCCAAAAGCCTGATATCTTAGGGAAAAAAAATTCTACTCAAATTCCAGTCTCTTTCCATACTGGACCTGGAGGAACATCTCCCCTCCCTCTGCATTCAGCAGTATTTTTTCCATTTATCCCATCTTTCTGCTCTAGCCCTGAACATATCCTTCCTATTTTCTCCTAATCCTGTATGTTGACCTCCCTGTCCTTTTTGCCCTGTTCCTCAAGGCAAAACTTCTTGCCGTGATCAGTCCTTTCTGAGAAGCTGGAAACTGCCTAGGTAAGGCATGCTGTTAGGTTAGTGGTCTATGTTCCTGATTTGGAGAATTTTAATCAAGTCCCTCCCAGTAATTGAAATATATAAACTGAGTATATACCCAAGTATAAACTCAATTATCTCCGGAGTGACTGCCCTCATGCTTGATGTGAAATAGCAAACGATAAAGAGCAAATCCTGCCTGACTAGCCTCCATACTCTTTCCTCTAGTAATGTCACTTAGTACATGTTTACATTAAAAACCCTAATAAAAGTCTTTTACATTCACAAAAAGTAAATAAACTCAATTATCCAGCTCTCATCTGGATATTGCAGGGCTATCTTTTCCAGTTTTCTTTTCTGGGGACAGTCACCATTTAGATAGCCCTTTTCTGTTACGGCGCTCCTCCAACTTTCCAGATTAGGGAGGAGTCCTCCTCTAGCTGAAAACCTGAGCCTCTCCTCTAATCCAGAGTGAAACTTGAAGTCCCCCCTCCCTGGAGTTTGTCTCAGAGGTCTTCTGACAGAATCCTGGTAAACTGTGGGACCAGGATTGAACACAGCATTCTACCTTTGAAGGGGTCTTTGATGTTATACATTGTATGGGAATGGCTTAAAGATTTGAGCACTTTCTTTGTGTGATTCCATTTATTTAAAATTCAAAAACAGTTGCCTACTATGTGCAAGGCCATCGGTTTGATCTCCTCAGGTGCTTTCTTGAAAGCCATCACAATCCAAAGGCCACTCATGTTGAATTTTTGGTACCCAGAGGTCTTAAGAGTTCCTTCTCCCACTGCCAGTTTGGACTTCTGCTTGAGTGTTTTCAAAGAAATCCCAAGGAATTTTCCCATGTTCCATTCATGTCATAGGTCTCTGTCAGCTGGTAGATCACCACTGACTTTGTGAGCTTTCCAGGACTTGGCAGTTGAGAACAACAGTTTTGGAAGGCAGAAAACAAACTGTCCTGGTGTGTGCTGATTTCTCCAAAAATAAGACCAAGTCTTCTTTTTCAGTCACAATTTGCTGTAGCAGGTGCAGCTTAAGGTGAAACCCAGTTTTGGCCTTAGCCAGGAATGAGTTATTTCTGTAATTTAATTCTCTAGTACCCTTTCTGGTGCTGGATCTGGTTTATAACTGAAAGCAGGCCCATAAAGCAGTTCTAGTCTCTCACCACTTTAGGAGTTAGGGTCTCAGACTGGTTGGGTGGTGAGAAAAAAAGGGATGGCAGGGAGTAATGATGCTTGGACTTTCATAGGGAAGTAGCAAGAACTGCTAGGTAGGCTGATGCCACTGTCTCAAAACCTGGAATCAGGTGGGGATACTAACTGTAGGAAACATCTCCACCCTTCATCATTCTCCTGAGGCAGGCTACTGGCTGGGCTCAGCTTTTAGGAATTTCCTCCTCTTACTGACTATGCTCTACAACCCTGGCTTAAACTGTTTTAGATCCACTCTCAGGAAGAGCAGATTCTTCAAACATTGGGCGAAGTTCTGGCCAGGAGGAAGATGGTAACAGATAGCTGGGATTGTGGGAACAAACATACCAGTATGGGGATAAAGTGGAGAGGTAGATCAGGCCAAGATTACTTAGTTCTTACCATATAGGCTACTACCAGTGATGGATATTTTTTTAGGGGATGTGGCGGAGAAGCAGTCACTGACAGTAACAAGAAGCCTGACACTGATGAGGAGCCCTTAGTCTTAATTGGGGCCTTGGCTAAAAGGGAGAGAAGCCAGGTTGGGAAGGAAACAGCGGATACGGAGAGAGGGGGTTCCCAGCTCGAATGGAGGCCGCGGCGGCGGAGTCAGGAAGGCAGTTTGGTAGGTAGGCTTCGCTTTAAATCTTTAATGCACCGGCTGGCTGGGCAGCGGTGGTGGGGGTGCGGCAGAGGAGGCCGCGGCCTGAGCGCTGGGGAGCAGGGCCCAGGCCGCTCGACAGACAGCTCATCAGGCCCCGAAGAGGTTCCAGCTTCTGTTGTCGGGGGTGCGCCGAGCTGTGGGGCGACCGGAAAACTGCGTGAGCCGGTGCGGGGAGTCCTTGGGTCCCCCGCCCACCCCTCGGATCTAAGTCTCGTCCAAGGCAGGTCCGCGTGATCGTAGCCCCCTCACCTCCGCTCTCGGCGCCACATTCGCAGCCAGGGGAAAAAGTAGAAGCAGCCCCAGTAGATCCTGAGGAGAGAAGGCAGAGCCGGGCCGGGCGCCGGGAGGGGCGGGGATGACCCCGGGAGGGGCGGGGATGACCCCCACAGACCCCGCCCCCGGACCGGCTCGCCCACGAGAAAGGCCCCGCCCCCTCGAAGGCGGGCCTCTCTCACCCACGCCCTCCGGGACGCCGCCCCGCCCTCCCGGCCCGAGAGCGCGCACCCTCCTCCCCTCCCCCGCCCCCCGGAGCCGCCGGGTCCCTCCTCCGCGCCTCCGCCTCCACTCACTCCTCCTCCGCCTCCAGCGCCACCTCGTATCTCCTCAATCCCGACATGTCCGGGTTCCGAACGTCTCCTGGGGAGTAGCACGACTGGATTAAGTCTATGGCCCCAGCCCCCAGTCTCGTTCCCCGGCACTCTCAGGACGGGGCTCAGTAGGTCTCAGGTAATCTGAGCCAGGGGCCCCTCCGGAAGCCAGTTGCCACATCGGGATAGAGCGGGACGCAGGGTTTGGGAGGCACTAGATTTAAAGCGTTGCGGGAAAGGTTATCTCGGGGGCCTGGGACGTGTTGGAGGTCAAGCCAGGAGACTTGGCGGCCGTGGGGCTGGGAAATCTGGGGTTCCGGGGGAGGATCTCCAGGAGCGGGGATCACCTGGAGGGGGGCTGAGGGGTCGGCGCAGCCTAAACTCCCGCCCTCCCTGGCTCCACCCCGGAAACGGATTGTTGTCATTACGTCACAGGGATACCTTCGCATTCTAGGGGTGGGGCTTACCTATAACCCGGAAGGGGCGGAGCCAGACATTCTCCCCCGGGGAGGCGGAGTTAAAGCGTCAGGCTCTGATGTGGAATCAGACCTTGTCTGAGGGGAAGGAGTCATCATGGGGTGCTAAGGGAAGGGGGGAAGGGGTTAATAGTATATTGTTTTACAGGGATAAAATGAGGTTTTGGGGATACTCCCTTGCAGGCTGAGGCCTCAGCAACAGGCAGCAATATAAGTGCTTTGCAACACTCCAGTACTGTTTTCACACCCCCATAACTCTTGCCAGGTATCTGCCCTGCCAATTGCCTTTCTTAACTTGCCCTGCTCCCTTTGCATGACTGGGTTGAGAAGGAATGGGCCCTTAAAGAGAACCCAGCCTAGAAAGGCTTGGCTATGGAAATTCTTCTTGTGTGGCCTTGGCCAAGTCACCTAATAGCTGAAAGACTGATATTCCTGTAATTTTTATTTTTTATAATCAACCAATAACTACTGAGTACAACATGCCAACTACTGTGCTAGACTTGAGGATATAATAGTAAAGAAGACTCCACTTTCAGAGAGCCTATCCTATCTCCCATACATAGGAGAGAGAAGAAAGGGCAGATTATTACAGTAAATGAAGGAGATTGGCAGGGGAACGTAGAGGGTACTGCTCCAGAGCCAAAAAGAAAAGGGACCATTAACCAGGTCCAGGGTGTTGAAATAACTGTCCCAGCCAAGGCCCAAAATGCTCAGCTAAAATTGGTGTGGAGAGAAGGGTGGGAAGAGAGCCTGAACTGATACTATGAATGAGAGGGATCAGAAATAAGTGAAATGAGTCTGGGGGTGGCTCAGGTCTGTAATCCTCAGGAAGCTGATATCTGAGGATGGCGGTTTGAAACCAGCCCAGGCAGGAAAGTCCAAGAGCCCCTTATCTCCAGTTAACCACCAAAAGCCACAAGTAGTGCAATGGTAGAGTGCTAGCCTTGAGTGGAAAAGCTGAGGGATACTGCTCAGGCCCTGAGTTCAAGCCCCAGTACCAATGCATGCACATGTATGTGTGCAAGCGCGTGCGCACACACACAAAGTGGGAGAAATGAATAGCCTACTTGGTCCCTCATTCAACCCTCCTCTTATATTTATCTTCCCCAGCCTTAGCTACAGACAGCAGACAGACAGATATGTGAGTGACAGGTGGCTTAGTTGGAAGCACTGTAGTCCGGATGTGAGGAGTCTGTGCTGTTGCCACACTTGCCTTCATTCACACTCTCGCTCATGTTGACACTCCAGGCTTATGCTAGTGGGGTCAGGTCTAGTTTAGAGCAAGGTTTGCCAGGCCACGGCAATTCACATCTCTTTACTTGCCCAGGACTTACTCTGGTGCTGCCATAGGCTAAGTGTTGGAGCTCTGGGGAAGGAAGAAAAGGTAGGGCCATGAGTTGGAATCTTGGATGGCTTGGAGGGTAGAGGCAGATCTTGAGTGCTAGGCTTGCCTTAGTAGAGTACTACTTTAGTTTCCTAATGAGATGTTCCACCCAGTTGGTCTGAGGATATGCAGGGCTAGCCCTTTCAGTGTGGTGAATCAGTGGGAAGTATATAGCATAGGATAGAGTTTTAATTCAGCCTTCTTGAAAGCTTGAGTATGAAGGATACAAGTTAAGAGATGACATCTAGGAGCCTGTTGAGGGACTTCCTCATGGGAGAATTTAGACAAAAAAGGAAGTATATTAGCTTTTCACTGTTATAACAGAATACCTGAGAAAACTTAGAGGAAGGATTTGGCTTACTGTTTCAGAGGTTTAAATACCAGAAATCTGATCCCTTGAACTCAATGCCAATTCACATATAGTGAGAGCAGGATTTTTGGGAAAGTAAAAGTTTATTTATTTTGCCAAGCAAGATTAGGACCATATAAACTGGTATTAAAAAGAAAGTACAATCCTATAGAGGTAGTGGGGAGGATGGACTTTGAAAGGAAAGCTCAGATCATGTGCTTCTAGATATAAGGCTTGAGGCATGACTTTGGACCAGATGGGACCTTAGCTTGGCTTTTTTTCCCCTGACATGCTGGTGTTAGCCTCCAGAGTTATATCTCCTGCTGTTTTGTATAGTTTTTTTTTTTTTCATTCCCGTGGTCAGATGAGAGGAAGAGTGATTGAATTGTCTGGAGCTGTAAAGATTTTTCTTGTGTGTTTGTGTGTACTGGTTCTGGGGGTTGAACTCAGGCCCTAGGCACTGTCCCTGTGCTATTGTGCTCAAAGCTAGTGCTCTACCACTTGAGCCACAGCTTTACTTCTGGCTTTTTGGAGGTTAGTTGGAAAGAAGAATCTTACTGACTTTCCTGCCCTGGCTAGCTTGGAACCTTGATCCTCATATCTCAGCTTCCTGAATAGCTAGGATTAAAAGATATGAGTCACTGGTGCCTGGCTGTAAAGATATTTTTTGAGTTCCCTTTCCTGAGGGAAATGGAGGAGGTGATGATAAGGAAAAAAACAAGTCTTTTGAAACCTTCTGTGAGTGAAATCAGGCTAACCATGAGTTAGTTATTGGACTATTTATGAACATATTTTGTTGTCTGTTCCCATTCAGTTTCAGGCCATGGTCAGTTGACTCAGTTGTTTTGGGTGCTGATGAGTCAGATCATCCATAGTGGGGATTGTGTGGTGGAGCAACACTGCTCACTTCTAGGAGCAGCTAGGAAGCAAAGAAATCAGAGGAAGATCTGAGGACAAGATACAGCCTTCCAGGGTATGTCCCTAGTGACTACTTCTTCCAAGTAGGTCACACCTCTGCAAGTTTCCACTACCAGGTGATAGAACCTGTACAGATAGAGCAGCAAGTGGGGTCAGGACCCATCCAGGCAATGACATCTAGGAACGCCTAGGATACAGGCATATCTACATCCCATGAATTGTACACACAGAACATGGGTATACCACAACACTCAGGTATACACAGGCTGCACAGGAATACACACAATGTACAGATATGTTCATGTCATACAGGGACATACAATTGCCACAAAGGCACAGCTATCTGACACATGTATAGTCTTAGGTTCATTTTTAGATCTGTATGTTGACATGAATTCTGATTCTTTCACAGGCTCCCTGAGACCTATGATCTGATTCCTGCTATGCCTCTCCTTACCATTTGAACAACTGTCCCATTTTACCCCATCATGGGAGAATATTAGTTCTGTCTGGGAAGGAAATGGTATCAGAAAGGTTCATTACACTCCTTCCTCCCTTTCTATTTCTTTCTTCTTTGTGTGAGTATGCCTGTTCTGGGACTTGCACTTAGGGTCTGGGTGCTATCCCTGAGCTTTTCTTTTCTTTTTTTTTTTTTTTAATCTCAAAGCTGTCTCTTTATTACTTGAGTCACAGCTCAAGCAATGGTTGTTAATTGTAGATAAAAGTCTCATGAGCCAGCACTGTGGCTCATGCCTGTAATCCTAGCTACTTAGGAGGCTGAGATCTGAGGATCGAGGTTCAAAGCCAACCCAGAAAGGAAAGTCCGTGAAACTCTTATCTCCAATAAACCACTCAGAAAACCGGAAGTGGCGCTGTGGCTCAAGTGGTAGAGTGCTCACCTTGAGCTAAAGAGCTGAGGGACAGCGCTCAGGCCCAGAGTTCAAACCCCATACCGACCACAAAAAAAAAAAAAAAGTCTCATGAACTTTCCTGCCTGGGCTGACTATGAACCTTGATTCTCAGATCTGCGCCTGCTGAGTAGCTAGGATTATAGTCACGAGCTACCAGTGCCCGCCTCTTTTTCTTTCTTTTTGAGATAGGATCTTGCTGTGTTTTCAAGACTGACTTCAAACTGAGTATCTCTCTGCCTCAGCCTCATGAGTTCTGGGATTACAAGTATGTACCACAACACTTTGCTTCTGTATACTAATGCTTATTTAAACTGTTCCAAATCCAAAACCAGTCTAGTGCCCAGCAAAATGAAGGACCCATTAAACTACTCACTTTCATTAAGTCCTCAGTATCTCTTCTTGCTTTCCAAGCAGCTTCTCAGTCTATTTCTTCCAATTTTTCTCTCTAGGAAAAGACACTTATCCTTGTGTATTTATGTATACATGTGTCCATGATTGTGTGTGTGTGTGTGTGTGTGTGTGTGTGTGTGTGTGTGTGTGTGTGTGTGTGTGTGTGTATGAGAGAGAAAGAGAGGGCGGGAGAGAGAGAGAGAGAGAGATTGTATATGTGTCTGTGCCTTGCGTCTTTAAGCATATTGTGGCTGTATGCTTAAATGTCTGTGGTATTTCCCTGTGAGTGATTGACTGTACAGCTTATTGTGTTATTTATGGGACATGCATCAGTCACTTGGGCAAGTTCTCACTTGTAGAATTCTGTGTGTGTTTGCTCTTCTCTTCCTTCTTTTTAAGATTTCATATTAACATACATTATCTGTATACAATGAAGGGTACCTCACTGTGACATTTCCATACATGCATATAATGTATTGGAGCAAACTCACCCCTGTCTATCAGTCTCTCTTATTCCTCTTCCCTCCCCTAACTTTTTTTTGTGTGTATGTGTGCGCCAGTTCTGGGGCTTGAACTCGGGGCCTGGGCACTGTCTCTGAGCTTCTTTTGCTCAAGTCTAGCACTCTACCACTTGAGCCACAGTGCCACCTCTGGGTTTTTCTGTTTATGTGATACTGAGGAATCAAACTCAGGGCTTCATGCATGCTAGGCAAGCACTCTACCATTAGGCCACATTCCCAGCCCCTCCTCTTCTTCCTTTCTTAAGACAATTTCAACTGGTTTAGTTGTTCTATTTTCATATATACATGTATGTTAATTTAAAATTATTCACCCCCTCTCTCCTATTGATCCCCACTCCCAATAGAGCCTGTTTTACTTTCCTTGTAATTTATTTATATTAAATTGTGTTTATTAATATAAAATATATTTAAAAATATAATGTATTTTATATTTTAATATTATATATTTTATTATATTTTAATATATTTATA